TTCACAGAGAGAGACAGCGAGAGAGGGAACACGAGCAGGGGGAGTGGGAGAGGGAGAAGCAGGCCTCCCGCTGAGCAGGAAGCCCGATGCGGGACTTGATCCCAGGACCCTGGGATCATGACCTGAGCCGAAGGCAGACGCCCAACGACTGAGCCACCCAGGCGCCCCGCTGCTCTCACTTTCTGAAGTAAGATTGCAAAGCAGCCAGTACCTTTCCCCTTTCCCAGGGCCTGGACACCCGAAGCCCTTTGATCGCAACTTTTCTTGGCTTTCCTTGTCCCCCATTGCGGGTCTTATGCTATTACACTTGCAGCTTCCTCCCATGCTGTGGACGGTGGCCCTCCCCTCTCCAGCCCTGTGTGCAGGAAGAATTGGGATGGAAGACACGCGTCACATATGTACCCGACTTTGCCCACAGGCCTTCTTGCTCTCCAGGATCCTGCTGCTTTCCTCTCTTCTCCCAGCTGTCCCCAGCCGGCTTCTGTGCTTTCCCAAGCAGCTTGAATGAGGGATGTAGCTTTTGGTTCATCTCTTTTGAACCACAAGGTCCCCATCTTTCTTATAGCACTTCTGAAACCCCTTCCCTTATGATCCCAGAGGTTTCCAGGAGAGACAATGAAAAGAATTAAAGGCACTCTCAGATGACCTTGGGTTTACTATAAAGCCACCCAGGGACTCCCTGAGTTCATTTTCTGCAGAATGCAAAATTCCCCAGGCTGGGCTTTCCGAGCTGTTGCTGGGTCACTGCGATATTCTTATTTTGTTGCTTCTTTTTCAGGCAGCCATTCTCAGGCCCTGGCTTCTCTAATCCTGAGCTGAAATTGGCTTCTGCTTCTCTGGCTTTCCCTTCGTGTGCCTTGTGTTCAGTCTCTCCAGGAACCAGGCTCTGATGGGCTCACTTGGTCACAGTCTAATGCACGTTCTCATGCCAGACCTCCTGTAATGCTGCTGATTTGTTCCATATGTTTGATTCTGGTAACCAGGACAATTCCTGGGCAGTCTTTTGTGGCTAGGTCTGGTAGCAGAGCCAAGAGAATCAATGTGTGGTAACTTATGTGGCAAGAACTGCCTCTGACCACTGGGTCCTGGGGCTGTCCGTGCCAGGCACATGGACGCCCCTAGAGTGCAAACTCCTCTAACACAACTCTGTTTTTGCAGGTGATAATTCACACCTCTTCATTCTCTTCCATTTGCCCCCTTTTCCCACTCCATGAAGATACCTAGTTAATGAAACAAGTAGATCATCTAATTTCACCCTCCCGACCCACAACTCAATTTCAAGCGTGAACTTTTCATTTTGGAGGCATCCTTAGGTCTGCATCATCTGGTCTGCTGCAGGAGGCTGGAGCACCTCAGCAGTGAGGTCCGGATCTAAGATGATGGCTCATGTCTTAATAAGGAACTGTTACTTCTGTTCCCCTGTGGGCAACAGTCTAGGGGCCTGCATGCTCCAAAGGTATCAGAAGCAAGCGGGACCAGGACTCTGAGGTCTGTATTCTCTGGTAGATGACTTTTTTTTTTTTTTTAAGATTTTATTTATTTATTTGGCAGAGAGAAAGAGAGCACAAGCAGGGGGAGCGGCAGGCAGAGGGAGAGGGAGAAGCAGGCTCCCTGCCGAGCAGAGAGCCTGATGGGAGCCTCTATCCCAGGACCCTGGGATCATAACCTGAGCCGAAGGTAGATGCTTAATCAACAGCCACCCAGGGCCCATGTCATTTTAAAAAAATTTATTTATTTATTTATTTATTTATTTATTTATTTATTTATTTATTTATTTATTTATTTAAAAAAAAGATTTTATTTATTTGACAGAGAGAGACACAGCGAGAGAGGGAACACAAGCAGGGGGAGTGGGAGAGGGAGAAGCAGGCTTCCTGCAGAGCAGGGAGCCTGATGTGGGGCTCGATCCCAGGACTCCGGGATCGTGACCTGAGCCGAAGGCAGACGCTTAATGACAGCCACCCAGGCGCCCATGTCATTTTTTTTTTTTTTTAAGATTTTATTCATTTATTTTAGAGAGAGAGGGAGAAGGAGAGAAAGAGCACCAGTGTGTGTTGGGGGGGGGGGGAATGGAGCAGAAGGAGAGAGAGAGAATTTCAAGCAGACTCCCCACCAAGCATGGAGCCTGAGGAGGGGCTGGATCTCACAACCCCGAGATCACGACCTGAGCTTAAATCAAGAGTCGGACACTCAACTAACTGAGCCATCCAGGTCCCTCTGACTTTGTCATTCTTGTATGAAGACTCTTTCCTCCCTTCTAGAACTCCACTCCTGCTGCCTAAGCTGGTAACCAGCTCACCTTTCCTTACCCCTTTGATCACAAGCATTTTGCGGAGGCTACCCCAGGGAAATTAAAGGAGTCAGGGTGCTACCAGTGACAGCTGGTTACATTTCACCGCTCTCCTCACACTTATGAACATGACAGTGAAGCCTGAGGTGGATGAGTTGTACCTCTCTAATACCAGATCTGTGCTGTGCTGGGAGGTTTTAGTCATATGCTTGGAAGGTGCAGCAGAGCATTTTTTATTTTTGGGCAGCTCATTGTCCTCAAACGATTGAACAACTCATTATTTGTATCATTAAAGTCAATTTATCACATATAGCAAAAAAAAAAAATCCATGTAATCATGGTTATTCCTGTATTGTGCTCTATTGATCTAACCATTTTTGTCTACCTCTTTGTCAGTATCATGCTGCTGTGGTTACTGCTGCTTTCTTTACAGGACATTTTGCTACTGCTAAGGCAAGGCCCCTATTAGTGCCTCTTACTCTTTTTTTCCCTCAAGATGTTTTGGCTGTGCTCATGTGAGGCTTCCAGAGGAATTTCAGAATCAACCTGTTAAGTTCCAAAATCTCCCCTTTGGGATTTTGATGGAAATTGCATTAAATATACATCATCATAATATCAAATCTTCTCATCAGGAACATTTTGACTTTTCATTTATTTAGGTCATTTAAAGTTCTCGGGTTTTCTTCATATACTTCTCAAAATGTTCCAGGTATATACTCTCTCTTTTTCCTGTTTCAGCGAATGGGATAATTTTTTTTTTCCCATTTCAGACTTTAATTTTTAAAAAAGATTTTGTATTAGTCAAGGTTCTTACGGTAGCAATTTACAGAGATACACTCTTAGGCAAAAAAAAAAAAAAAAAAAAGTTGGGTGGGAATTCTTTGGAAGGTGGCCAAGGCGTCCTCTGCAGCCTGAGGGCAGAAGGGGGAGTGGGCCTCACAAGGGGGCCTGGAAACAACAACTGCTTAGTTTCTCTGTGCTGCTTCTCTGAGTAGATGTTTTCCTCTCCCTCTGTAGTTTATAGCTTTCTTTGCTGCTCTCTTTGTCTCACTCTCACATTTCTGGGAAGCAAAGTGATGTAGAACAAATCTGGCTACAGGGTCTATCCATATGAATGGAGCAATTCTCAGAATCTACAGGCTGTGGAGACACTCCTGAAACAGATTTCAAAGCTCCGTAATGCCAGGAATTTCAAAACAATCTGTCTCCTCTTGCCTAAGAGGGTTAGAGTTGGCAGAAATGGTATGGAAGAACCCTTCCTTCCTAGTTCCAGGTGATTGATAAACAGGGGCCGACAATCATCACTGCTCTGGGATTAATAATTCAACAAAAATATATTGAGCCCCTACTGCTTTGCTGTTCACGATGTGCTTCTACTTACTTCATTTTGGCTCAGATCACACAGTATCCCATAAACGCTAAATTGTGTGGTTTAGGGACATAAATTGCCATTTCACATATTTTGACTGTAGAAAATAAGATCCTTCAAATTTTGCAACTTGAGATAAAGATAGCTATATTCCTACCCTCAACTGGCATAGGATTCATTTTGATTTCCCTCTGTAGAAAAGGCACTTATTAAAAAAAAAACAACAGGGCGCCTGGGTGGCTCAGTCGGTTAAGCGACTGCCTTCAGCTCAGGTCATGATCCTGGAGTCCCGGGATCGAGTCCCGCATCGGGCTCCCTGCTCAGCAGGGGGTCTGCTTCTCCCTCTGACCCTCACCCCTCTCATGCTCTCTCTCTCATTCTCTCTCTCAAATAAATAAATAAAGTCTTAAAAAAAAAAAAAAACTCTCCTTGAAAACCAAATTCTGTTAGAAGACTTTTTTTTTTCGGGGTAGGAGACTTTATTTCACGGGAGGGCTGGGAGGGAGAACCTAGACAGAGGGCAACAGGCGGTGTGGTAGGGGGTGGACGCTTGGACAGGGACTGGGTTGGGGAAGGGCTGCCCCTAGGCCTGTTGGGAAGGAGAAACTACATTTTTCTTTACGTAATCTAGTTCAGTAGTTGGCCTCCTTTTTTGACTGGGAGCCAGGTGAAAGCTACAACAGGAACTTGGAACCAGGAAACTTCGGCAGTCTTGACGAAGTTAGTTACTAATTGAACGACCTTCGCAGGGAACCTCGCCTCTGTGAACATGCTTTCTCATTTTCAAACCCGGCATAACAATTTCTGGATTCAGGGGTTATGAAAGGAAACACAAAAAGCAGAAGACTGGATACACGTGAGGCATTACCAATCGCAGTGTGAGTCTGACACTAGCGAAGGAAAAAAGAACAACGAGTTTGGAGGGACATTAAGGAAAAAGTCTCAAGGTGACTCCAGAGGTGGCATCTTGGCAAGCCCCAGCTCCTTCAGCAGATACCAAAAAACTTCACATGGCGAACACGCTTTCCTTTAATTGGAAAACGAGTGTTCGCTTTGGCCGAGTCCTTTCCTGAGAGAAAAGCCCATTGCTCCAAACAGTGCTTCCCCGCCCAGTCTGCAAACAACGAGTCAGGTTTTCCTCACAGGCCTGGAGGGGCCCCGCCGAGCCGAGCGGGAGACCCACGCTGAGCGGAGCCCACAAGCCGGGCGGGTGTGGGGGCAGGGATGGAGGGGCCCCGCTTCGGGCCCCAGCAGGACCAACTGCCGAGGGACCGCCCCGTCCGCACCAAGCCGTCCCCGCCCCCGTCGGACACGTAAGCACGACTTAGGTCGTGACTTCCGGCATCGCAGCCGTGCTTTCCGGTTGTGCCGCCTACCCGCCTTCCTTCCGGGGCGGGACTTCCTGGCCATTATTGATAGGTGCCGGACTGCAGAGCTGGTGGGAGAGCACACAGGAGGTCAGTCTGGGGGGCCAGGCCTTACGCTCCTCGAAAGGGTACCCGGGAGGATGCTCTTCCTCGCTCTCTTTCTCACTTTTTTCTCCCCGCGAGTCCTCGTTTGCGCGGACGTCCTGGGCTTTTGGTACCACCCCCCCACCTGAGGCTCTTCCGCTTCCTCTTTTCCCAGGCTCCGCCCCCAGCGTCTCGTGGCCATGACGACCGCCCAGCGGGACTCCCTGGTGTGGAAGCTCGCGGGGCTGCTGCGGGAGTCCGGTGAGTGGATACGCGGTTGATCTGGGGCTGGGGCAAGGTGGGGGTGCGCCTTGCCTTCCAGAGACACTCTCCCCCTTAGGAAACAGAGTTACAGCTGATTGAGGTTACGAGGATTCGGGCGTCAATTCATTTTTTTTTTTTACTCCTCTGAAGTTTTTTCTCTCTGGTGCCGTTGCTTGCAGGGTCCTTTGTTTTTTGACATTTCACACCTTAGCCATCCTTCGAGACCCAACTCCAGTGCCACTTCCTCAATGCGTTCTCTGAAACTCTCAGAGGAAAGTGATCTTTACTTGGCTGTAAATCTCTGGAGACCGGGGACTGGCATAATCATTGCTCTGTGTCAAGGCACTTAGTATAGTTAAAAGCACGAGATTTGGAGTCAGATGCGCTTGGGTTGGAATCCCAACTCTTCCAAACGTGGCGAAGTTGTTTAAGTTTTCTGAGCTTCAGTTTTCCACAGCAGGAAAATGGCATAATGATTGTACTTAACTCGAAACGTTGTTGTGGGGATTAATTTTAACCCATGTAAAGCATTTAGGACAATGTTTGCATAATACGTAAGGGCTCAAAATTGGTAGCTGTTGTTACTACAGTTTCTTCTCTCCGTGCCTGGGCACAGTGGAGCCACAGTGGTTCAATGTGTGGTTGACGTTAGTTGTGGTAGAACAAGCCCTGATTTGAGATCAGACAGAAGTAGCAACTTCCTATCATCTATATAAGCTCAGTCAGTGTTCTTCTCCAAGCCCCAGTGTCCATCTCTTTAAGGGGTGGTCAGTAGTGCTTCTCTTTAGGAGATTCTGATGAAGTTTAAATGAGGTAACAAAGTTGTGTGCCACATACCACCTGATTAATGTTAGCCGCCTGCCCACAGTCTGTACTCCTTACTCCTGTTGGTGGTGTCTGTGGAATCTCTTTTTAGAGCAGTTTTACTTTCTGGCTTGTTCTATTAACTGTGTACGTATTTTATCTCTTCTACACTAAGAGGCTCTTGGAGGGTGGGGAGAGTCTTTGAACCCTGTCCGCATCTATTCTTAGTGTCCAGCACATGGAACATCTTTCATGTAAGGTTGTAGGATTTATCTGTTTGTTCAGCACAAATCTGACCTGGTGCTCCAGGGGTTAGGGATGATAGTGTGTGTGTGTGTGTGAGTGTGACTATAAGAGGTACCGAGAGATTTTTATGGTGATTGGAATAGTTTTGTATCTTGATTGTGATGTTGGTTATAGGAATCCACACCAATGACAAAAAAGTGGCATAGAACTATAGGTACATACCAATGTCAGTTTCCTGACTTTGATATTTACATGAAATGTAAACATTGGGGGAAACTGGGTGAAGAATATAGGGTACCTCTCTGTAATATTTTTGTAACATGTTTTGGCTCTATCATTGTCTTAAAAAAATAGTAAAAAAAATATTTCTCCATGCCTACCTCACAGCTGTACGTTTTAGGTGCGGTGGTGGGTACCAGGGTGATCAAAAATGTCCTCAAGGATGACAGTCTCATTAGAGCAATTTTAACACAGAGATGGAGAATAATACCTCAGTACTATAAAGAGTGGTTATTCTTTCTATGACATGCATTTTGGGATGGTTTGAAAATTTCTGTAAGTGTGCATATTACTTTTGCAATCAGAGAAGTAAAGATGAAATACATGGGGTATCTGGGTGGTTCAGCGGTGGAGCACGCGACTCTTGATCTCGGGGGTGTGGGTTTGAGTCCCATGTTGGGCATAGAGTTTACTTAAAAAAAAGGTGAAACACCCAACCAACTTGTACGTAAAGTGAATGATTATAGCATAAAAGGGCAGCAGTGTTACACACTGAGAAGCCTGCCTGGAGGAGGATAGTCTTGAGCTGGGCAGAGTGGAAGGGAATGTGTCAGAAAATGAGGAATCTGTGAACCGAGCTGACTGTATTCCCAGCACCGTGAGTAGACTAGACTCTCCTGCGCAGATGGTGAAAGAAAATTTGGAAAAGTTGGTTGGCTGTAGTGAACGCAAACTCCTGTCATCAGACTGAAGAGTTAGGACTTTTTGTGAAGATAGAGGGGAGCTGTGGAAGACTTTTGAGCAGGGAGGAGACAGTATGACCCCAGCAGTGGGAGATCTACCATATGGATTGGAGTGGGTGTATCCTGGGTTCACAGAGTCTCAGAATAAAGGGAAAGACCCCTTTGTTATGTTCTCCTTCCTGTCTGCCCCTTTTCCTGCAGGTGACGTGGTCCTGTCTGGCTGTAGCACACTGAGCCTGTTGACCGCCACCCTGCAGCAGCTGAACCACGTATTTGAGCTGCACCTGGGGCCATGGGGCCCTGGCCAGACAGGCTTTGTGGCTTTGCCCTCTCACCCTGCCGATTCCCCTGTCATCCTCCAGCTTCAGTTCCTCTTCGATGTGCTGCAGAAAACTCTTTCACTCAAGGTCGCTGCAGTGGGAATGGAGTAGGATGTACGAAGAGCCCAAGAGCTGGGGGGGTGGGGGCATGGGTGCAAGAAGTCTGCAGGGCCCAGATGGAGAGGGTGTGAGAGCTGTGGGTGGCTGTGTGAGTGGGGAGAGGCCAAGGAAAGGGAAGTGTGCTGGCCTCGGTGACATGAGTTTTTTTCTTTTAGCTGGTCCACGTCCCTGGTTCTGGCCTCCCTGGGCCCATCAAGATTTTTCCCTTCAAGTCCCTTCGGCAGCTGGAGGTATGGAGTGTTGGGGGATGCCGGCACACAAAGCCCAGTTTGAGGCAACCTTTTGGGAATGGGGAAAGAGATGGCCCCCCATTGGTGGGTGGGCCAGGCCTGAGTGTGTCCACTGCTCTGCAGTAACGTGGCATTCATCTCTTCCATTTAACGCTTCCCTGAACCATAGTTGGATTTGTCATCTTTTCCCTCCCCATAAAAGAAGGAATTGAGGTGAAGCCTCTGTCTTGTGAAATTCTGTCTCCCTCCCTCCCTCTCAGCTCCGAGGTGTCCCTCTTCATTGCCTCCGTGGCCTCTGTGGCATCTACTCCCAGCTAGAGACCCTGATTTGCAGCAGGAGCATCCAGGCATTAGAGGTAAGGAGGATGGGGGCTGGGTCCAGATCCCTGTTCTGAGGGACATACAGGACCAAGTTCTGCCATTCCCTTGTCTTTGCAGCCTTTCCTGCTTCCCGCTTCCCTTCAGACAGTGGTTTTGCCCCCTCTGCTGCACTCCTGTAGTGCTGTGTACCTGTCTGTCGTTTATGGTCACACCTGCCATCTTGTATTCAGTATTCTTGTATCCGTCTCCACATTCTTCCCACAACAGACTCCTGGGGGCAGGGCCCTGGGCTTGCTTTCAGTCTGTTTCTGCAGACCAAGCTTAGTATATAGAGAACAAATGAATGACTGGGGGACAATGGCTTGGAGCAGGGAGGAGGGGACAGCGGAGGTAATGGAGCACCCTATCTCAGGAGCTCCTCTCAGCCTGTGGTGGTGACCTCTGCTGTGCCCTGCCCTGGCTGGCTCTGCTCTCTGCCAACTTCAGCTACAACGCACTGACTTCCTTAGACAGCTCTCTGGTGAGTGCCTCAGAGGGAAGGGGGTTTGGGGAAAGACAGGGGGGCCCTTAGGGAGGAAGGCCAGCTGGCTGCCTGGAGGTGTCTGATTCTCTGCTGCTTTTCCCATCTTCCGCCCCCCCCCCAGCATCTCTTGTCAGCTCTGCGCTTCCTGAATCTGAGCCACAATCAAGTCCAGGACTGCGAGGGCTTCCTGATGGTGAGTGTGAGCAGGCTGGTTGGGGCTGGCCCCACTTGGCTCTCTGGTCATCCCACTCTGACCCTCTCTCCTGGACCTGTCCCCCACCCTCCCCCAGGTAGGGCTATATCCTGGAGGCAGTACTCTTGGGGAGCTCAGACTGTAGCATAAGAGAAGCCAGTGTTCAAATCTCAACTCCTAAATTGTTGTGTGACTCGGGACAAACTAAGCTCTGAGTTTCTTAACTGGTCAAGCAGAAATCCTAGGAGTACCTGTTTTTATAGTATTAGAGTGGTCATGGAGGTTGTGTGATGTTACTTAGCCTGGTGTCTAGCTCAGAAAAGGTAGCTTGGGGATGATGGGGAAGAATCTTCTCCAAGTCTTATTGTCAGGGACAAAGTTGGATGGTAGTTGCTGTGGTGAGAACAGATTTTAGTAATACACTATTGTAGTAGTAATAAGCTATCGTGGTATGTAATCAGTAGTAGAACCATTTTAATTTGTAATAAACTTTAGCATAAACTAAACTCAAATTTGATTTGTGCAGAGATTACTGGATGTTTTAAAGGCATAGTGAGGGAGTGGGCAGGAGAAGGCAGGGACTTGAGCAGATTCTTTCCTTGACCGAACTAGTCAGTTTTATTTATTTTTATTTTTTATTTTTTTTTTAAGATTTTATTTATTTATTTGAGAGAGAGAGAATGAGAGAGAGCACATGAGGGGGGGAGGGTCAGAGGGAGAAGCAGACTCCCTGCCGAGCAGGGAGTCCGATGCGGGACTCGATCCAGGGACTCCAGGATCATGACCTGAGCCGAAGGCAGTCGCCCAACCAACTGAGCCACCCAGGCACCCCGAACTAGTCAGTTTTAAACCTCTGAAGTCAAGGAAGTGGAAATTTACAAAAAGCAGGAAGGGGGTGTTGGTCCATATGAAATCCGTCTGGGTCTGGGATTGCTAACTGGTGCCTGCCAGAGTTAGCCTTCTACCTTCCTACAGAGGCTGGGAGACGGGGGTTCTGTCTTCAGCTGTTGGCTGGAACAAACTATATTCTTCTGGCAGCCTTGGGTTTTTCTAGGAGGGAAGGTAAAGGGGCTGGAATTGTCTTCCCAAGGACGTGGCCTTGAGCTATTAGGAACTATGCTAGGATTTGTTCAATTCTGTTAACGTTTGGTGGGGGGGGTGGAGGATGGGATGAACTCATTTGTGCAGAGAGTATGCAGTCTTTATAGGCTAAGGTTGAGGCCTACTTGAAAAGAAGGCTCAGAGAAGCCCGGCTAGAGTCTGGTCAAGGAGAGAATCTTTGTCACCACCCCCTTTCAGGACTTGTCTGAGCTCTGCCATCTGGACATCTCCTATAACCACCTGCGTTTGGTGCCAAGAATGGGACCCTCGGGCGCTGCTCTGGGGACCCTGATACTGCGAGGCAATGAGCTCCGGAGCCTGCAGGGTGAGTGGGGAGTGTGGGGGGCCAGGGAGTAGGAGAGGGTGGGGCGAATATGGAGGGTAGAGGGCCAGTGTGAGACTCAGCCTGGGACCCGCATGCCTCCAGAGCCTCAGGTGGGCCTACGGGTAGGTCTGAGGTGCCCAGGCTGGTCTTTCTGCTCTTACCAGCCCCCCCGCCCCCAATATGCCCTTCCTCCCTGCTCGCCTCCACCCCAGGCCTGGAGCAGCTGAGGAACCTGCGGCACCTGGATGTGGCGTACAACCTGCTGGAAGGCCACAGGGAGCTGGCGCCGCTGTGGCTGCTGGCTGAGCTCCGCCAGGTGTGTCCTAAGTGCTTCCGGGATCTGAGGGCCAGCTCTGTGCCTCTCCCTCCCTCCCCAGGCTGATTTGGTGAGTGCCCTTCCTCACACAGGGAGGCCTAAGGCCCATCTCAGTCTCTTCTTCCTGCCCTTCAGCTCTACCTGGAGGGGAACCCTCTGTGGTTCCACCCTGCGCACCGAGTGGCCACTGCCCAGTACTTGTCACCCCGCGCCAGAGACGCTGCAGGCGGTGTGAGCGATCTTCTCCTGTCCGCTCTGCTTTCCCTGTCCTGCCTGTCCCACCCCCTGCCCCGTCATCCGCCCCCCACCCCAGCCCTGGGTGATGGGCCGCAGTCCTGGCCCCCCTGCTTGTTAGGCTGCCCCCGCCCCGAGCCTGCTGGTCCCTGCAGGGCTAGGAGGGCTCCCCTGGGTGGGTGGGCAGGTACCCTGCCACCGACGCAGCCCCTCCCCTTTTATCTTTGCTCAGTTCCTTCTTGATGGGAAAGTCTTGTCACTGACTGACTTTCAGGTTAGTGTGCGGGGAGCGCTGGGGGTAGGCCATCCCGGAATGATTTGGGAGGACATGACAGGGGTCCCAGGGTGGGGGTCTTTCTGGGCAGCTACAAAGTAGGGCCCATCCCTCGGCTAGGCCGGTAGGGCAGAGGTGCATCTCTGGCTCCAGCCTCGCTCTCCTTCCCGTTGTCACACGCCAGACTTCCACATCCTCAGGGCTTCGCTCCTCGGCCCCACCTCTGCCCTGGTCAGCGGGGAGTACTGCCGAAACCTCAGGCGGCCCTGACTTGAGTGACAGCATCTCCTCAGGGGGCGTTGTAGCCCAGTATCCGCACCGGAAGGTTAAGGTAAACAGTGTCCTAGGCCACCTTCGCCTGGGGTTGGGTCCCTTTCTGGGGGCTCTGGGTTGTGGATGGCCTGGGAAGAGAAAGGCCTCATCCTTGCTTGTTGGTGGGGTTTTTTGGGTTAGGTTGGGTGTGTGGCCATGGACGGCAGGGTGGGAGGCCCTGGCTCTTCTAGAGCATCGGTCCTGTGTCCACCTTCAGAGCCGAGTCCGTGTGAGGCGAGCAAGTATCTCGGAACCCAGCGATACAGACCCAGAGCCCCGGACTCTGGACCCGTCCCCAGCTGGTAAGTCCTCTGTGGCCCCAGCTGCCCTTGCCCTAAGTCCTGTCTTCAGGCTCTGGCCCCAGTCTTCATGGTAGGAGGGATTCTGTCTGAGGTGGAGCAGAGCGTTGTAGAGGGCCTCTTAGGCTTTCTTCTTTTCTAGTTTAAGGAAAAAGGAGACCACCCATGGGTAGCATTTTCCAAAGTGTTTTTAAAGGAACGTGAATTGTGCGGGATGTCGAGAGGTCACTTGCTGAAAGGATCCCATGGGAAAAGCTGGGCTAACCAGAGTTAAGTAGGCGTCCTCCCTGCAGGACATCTCAGGACCTCCAGTTCACTCCCGTGTATTTCCAATCTCCCTAGCAGCGTATGCTGCGTGGTTCCGACTTGTGTGTGGGCATGGCATTCCATAGAACGTCCTTTGAGACGTGCTGCTGAGGGGAAGCCTTGAGTCTCCCTCTGATCCCCACCCCCCATCACATCACACACCTTTAGACTTCACCCCAGGGAGCAGTTGCAGAAGAGGCTGGGGTCGTTGGGGGTCGTGGTGAGGGCGTGGGCTTGCTAAGCAGTGCACCCCTCACCGGCCCAGGGAGGTTTGTGCGGCAGCATCGGGAACTTGAACTCATGAACAGCTTCCGGGAACGGTTTGGCTGTGACTGGCTGCAGTATAGGAATCACCTGGAGACCTCTGGGACCTCTGTTGTGGCTACCTCTGAGATCCCTGCCCTCAGCACACTGCCCCTGAGCCCAGGGTCTGTGCCCGGCCCTCCACCCCCAGAGAAAGAGTCACCGCAGGAAATGGCAGAGGAGGTCAGGCTCCTGCCAGAGACCCAGGAGGAAGTGGAGGTGGAGGAACAGGATGAAGTGGAAGGTGAGCACCGAGCGCTCATTTAGCAACCGCCAGGGAGACCGGGCCAGGTGCTGGTGGTGTATCTGGGCGAGTTGGGAAAACCCAGACTTGGGGCAGCTGACCCCTTCTGGATGGAGGGCCACCCCACGGGAGGGTGGAGTCGGGGATACCTCTCCCTTCTTACAGGTTGCTCTCCTGGTCTCTCCTCAGTGGAACTGTGTCGCCCCATGTTGGTGTGTCCCCTGGAGGGGCCCGAGGGCGTGCGGGGCAGGGAATGCTTTCTCCGGGTCACTTCTGGCCACCTGTTCGAGGTGGAACTCCAGGCAGCTCAGACCCTGGCACGGCTGGAGCTCCAGAGCCTAGAGGCAGCTGAGGTGGAACCTGAGCCTCAGACCGAGCACGAGGTAGTGCTCGAGGTGAGCGGCGGCATTAGGGGTCCTGGAAGAGGTGCTGGGCCTTTTGCTGGAGCCACTTGGGACAGCACAGCTGTTGGGTACCAGGCGCTGGGTCGTGAGTTTCCCCCAGTCTGTCGTTGGTACTTGGAGCAGAGCAGGGGAGCTGTGGGGGGCGAAGGCATGGCCGCAGACAGCTTGGAAGGCTGAGCTGAGGAGTAGGGCTGCTAAGCTAGAGTGTGGATGTCAGCAAGAGCATTTTCATGATATCCAGAGCTACGATTTTCTTCCCTACTGTCAGCATCACCCAGATCTCTCGGATCCCCTCTGTGCGCAGGGCTCAGATCCACTCCCCGGGGCCCCTGTCCTTGTTCTGCGCTTCTCCTACATTTGCCCTGACCGGCAGCTGCGTCGCTATGTGGTGCTGGAGCCCGATGCCCACACAGCTCTCCAGGTAACCGGGCCTAGAGCGAGGCCAGGGCACGGGGGGGAGGCCTGAAGGGCCGAGGGCCGGGGTCCACTGCTCACAGCTGTGTCTGGCCCACCCTGTTTCAGGAGCTGCTTGCTGTGTTGACCCCAGCAGCCACCACAGCTCAGCATGAGCTTGGGGAAGCGAGAGACCTGCTACGGGGCAGACTCCAGTGTCTACGTTGTGGCCATGAGTTCAAGCCAGAGGAGCCCAGGGTGGGGTTAGATGGTGAGGAAGGCTGGAGGCCTCTGTTCCAAAAGACAGGTATGCACCTTGCCCTTGCCCTTCTGTCCATGGGACTCCCACCGTTTCAGAGACAATGGCTTTGAGAGAGGGAATACAGAGGGGGCACCCCAGGGAAGGAAGGAGTGGGGACCAACTCTTCTCTCTGGAGGAAAAATAAAACTGTCTGATACATTTGCTAAAAAAAAAAATGACAGGAGCAAAAGAAGAAATTAGATCCTTTTCTTTTTTCTCTAAAAGTCAGGGAATACAATCTCTTTAACTGTTGAAACATACTCATTATTTTTTCATAACTTGAAGGCTTTTTCCACTTTTTTGGCTGATAATTTAGAAACTCCATAAAAGTTCCTTAGCCCTCACTGCAGTATCGGGTGTAGTGCTGTCCTCTGAGCATGTTTGGCTATTACGTAAGATGCTTTTCGAGTTGGCTGAGGTGGTCCCGCCTTGACTGACCTCGTAAGCTACTTGAGATCAAGTGGTGCCTCATGGTATCTCCTCACACCCTGTTCTTTAAAGTGAGAGATTTTTCCACTGCAGATTAGTCAGAAAGCAATGTCTTTAAAGATCCTAAAGAGAAAAGAAATATTCTCGGTACCATTTGTGTTGAAATGCATGACTTTAAAAAAAATCACGTATCTGTCTATGTATCTATTTGTTCATCTATCTATCTATCTGACAGAGAGAGCCAGCGAGCACAAGCAGGGGGAGTGGCAGGCAGAGGGAGAGGGAGAAGCAGGCTCCCCGCTGAGCAAGGACCCCCCCCAACAGGGGGGCTGATCCCCGGGTCCTGGGATCATGATCTGAGCCAAAGGCAGACACTTAACTGACTGAGCCACCCAGGTGCCCCGATTTTTTTTTTTTTTTTTAAGATTTTATGTATTTGGGGGGAGCGGGGCTCATGAGCAGGGGAAGGAACAGAGGGAGAGGGACAGGCAGACTCCCGTTGAGCTTGGAGCCCAGGATCCCGAGATCATGACCTGAGCCAAAGTCAAACACTTAACGGACTGAGCCACCCAGGTGCCCCAATATTTTTTTTAAGATTTTATTTATTTTGAGAGAGTGCAGGAGTGTGCGTGTGAGCAAGAGCGGGGCAGAGTGGGAAGGAGAGGGAAAGAATCTGAAGCAGACTCTGCCCTGGCTGTGGAGTCTGACTTGGGGCTGATCCCGTGACCCTGAGATCATGACCCAAGCGGAGCAGAAACCAAGAGCTCGGTGCTCAACTGACTGAGCTACCCAGGCGCCCCCCGGGTGTGTCGTTTTTTTGATCCTTGCTGTCCTCATTTGCAAATTGGGATCCAGAGAGTTTTAATTCTATTGTCAGAGGGTCCAGCATATGCCTGTTGTAGCTGCTCAAAGTGTTCCCTCTCTCGCTGCCGATCCCCAACCTGGATTCTTTCTTTACCTGATCCGTTCACCCATCCTGACGACCCTATAGGACAGGTACTGTCATCACTCCTATTACAGAGGAGGAACCAGGCTCAGAGAGCTTAGGTGACTTGTCATAATTGCTTAGATGACAGCTATTAAGTGACGGAGCCTGGAATTGGACCCATACCTGACACCCTGCCTTCCTGATCTGTTGATTTGGGGCCTTCATATGTGGCTGGTGGAGCTTCAGAGCACATGACAGCCCGAGACTGTGGGAGGGGCCCAGAACAGTTTGGTTCTCTCTGAGAAGGCCTGAAATAAGAAGATGGGGTATATTTTGAGGAGGTCGTGGGCCATGGGTCTGGGTTTGCTCCTCCCTCACTGGGATGGAGAGTGGTTGGCTAACTGGCCTGCCCAGGAAGTGGGGGGAGGGGGGTGTTGGGAATGGTGGGGAGCATAGGAGGCTGGAGATGTTGGCCAAGGTAAATCTGAGAGGGGGTGGGGAGCATGATGAACACAGTGGGGGGATTGTGGCGCTGTGTGTCGGGGTTCACAGGGCCTGTGCTCATCCTTCCTTCCAGAATCTCCTGCTGTGTGTCCAAACTGTGGTAGTGATCATGTGGTTCTCCTGGCTCGGTCCCTGGGAACCAGCCATGGGGAGCACAGACAGGACGAACAACCGCCAGTTCCTTCGCAGACGGCCAGCGCTGTCCATGACCCTCCTGACCCCAGTGACCACAGCAGCAGGGCTGACGGGGCCCCATCTCAGGCGCCGGTCTCCCAAGATCGCCACGGTTGGAACCTCAGTCCCCGTGAGTAGAGGTGAAACGGGACCCAGGTGGTGTTCAGGGAGGCGGGAGAGCACGGTTGTCGCCCGGGCAGGCTGACGGCCCACGGCTCGCCCCCAGCCCCTGAGCGCCACGGCCTCCGCTCTGTGGACCACCGACTCCGGCTCTTCCTGGATGTCGAGGTGTTTGCTGACGCCCAGGAGGAGTTCCAGTGCTGCCTCAAGGTCTGTGCTGGCCTGGCGCTGCCCCGCGCCCCTCCCTGGCCAGAGTGCCCGCTGTGTCCCCCACAGCAAACCGTGTCAGCGCAGGGGCTCTGGAAGCCCTGGGCCAGGCGGCCGGTTTCAGCTCCCACGGTCACTCACAGTGTGGCTACGGACACGGTCCTTGATATGGCGAAGCCTGTCGTTGCCGCTCCGCGGCGGGGATAGCGCTGCCTACCTCATGGGGTGTGTCAGTGGGCGCCCATGGCACTCACAGGGGGCCTCCCGTCACCGCTCTAAGTACCCAGGGTTATCGGTCCCTCCGCGGGCACCTAGCATCTGCACGACACTAGGATTTCGAGTAAATCCGTCTCGCCATCTGTCTTGTATTCTGCTGTGAGAAACCCGACGATTGTGAGGTAGGAAAGTTCTGGAATCAGGCTGAGGCATCGGATCCAGCCTGAGTGACGGAGCCTCCCCTTCTTGGGGAGCCGATCTAAGATCTAATCCAGGGCTTGAAGGATGAGTTCTAGAGAAGGTGGGGGATGGTCTGGGGAAAGGAAGCAGCACCTGTGTCAGGGGCCTGAGAGCGGGGCTAGCTAGTGGGGAGAAACTGTTGCTGTCGGGACGGCAGGGGGTGGGCTGGGGAGGGGGCAGGGGCCCTGGGAGGAGTCTGAAGAGGCAGGCAGGGGCCAGTTCAGGGGCAGCCTCAGGTGTCTGCCAGGGAGTTTGGACTTGATCCCAAGGGCCGCGGGAGCCCCGGAGGCAGGGGAGTGGCAGTTGGTTTTGTTGTACGGTAGTCCGGCAGAGTGTGGAGGGCGGGTCGGAGGGGGCACGATGCCAGGCAGGGAAACCCGCCGAGCCCGCCTGTGGGTCAGGGTGCAGGGGGGCGGCAGGCGAGGCCGGATGCATGAGCAGTGGGGAGGGTCGGGCCACGGTGACTCTGCTGTCAGCCCGGCAGCCGCCTCCCTTGTCCCCTCTTTCTTTCCTGTTCCCCGTAGGTGCCACTGGTGTTGGCAGGCCACCCTGGGGAGTCTGTGTGTCTCGTGGTGGTGTCCGACCGCAGGCTTTATGTGTTGAAGGTGACAGGGGAGATATGGTGAGCGAGTGGGGCCATCAGGGACAGGGCGGGGCTCCCTGGGGGTCTCACGCCGCTCACTCTGGCCCTCCCTCTCCACAGTGGGCCTCCAGCCAGCTGGCTACAGCCAGCCCTGGCCGTTGCCCTGCACGACCTGAGCGGCATCGAGCTGGGGCTGGCGGGACAGAGCCTGCGGCTGGAGTGGGCGGCCGGGGCGGGCAGCTGTGTCCTACTGCCGCGAGATGCCAAGCATTGCCGGGCCTTTCTGGGCGAGCTCACCGGTGAGAGAGGGAAGGGGGAGGGAAGGGAGGTGCGGGGAGGGCGGGTGGGGGCCGAGGGGTCGCAGCTGCCCACGTCCGGCAGCCACGGCGGAGACAGACAGGTAATGGGACACATCCCCTTTAGAGGTTTCTGAAATGTAGGGTCAGGAAGGTCTGGAGAGGTGCAGAGGTTAGGACAGAAGAGATGGAGTCTCTGAGGTTCCCTGTCCCTGGCTGGCTCTGTCCAGCTGTCTTACAGGCTCTGCCCCCCAGCTGGAGGAGCCGCGTCAGTGCCACAGAGGAGGAGGTGACCCCGAAGCACCGCCTCTGGTGAGTGGATGGGAGGTCGAGGCCACGGTTGGTGGCCAGACAGCCGCTCCTGGAGCCCGGGCCATCTCCGCAAGTCCCAGCCACGGTTGGGCCCTGAGCACCTGGGCCGGCCTGTCCTCGTGCCCACACCTCCCGCCCTGGTTCCTCCTCCCTGCCCTTCTCAGTATTTCCCACCCCCTGGCTGACCACTCCTTCCCCCCAGGCCATTGCTGGAGAGAGAGACTTCCTCGGAGCCGCCTCTGTTCTTCTACCTTCGGGTGTTCCTGGTGGAAGGTGAGGCTTCTGTCTTCTGTCTTGCCCCAGGCCCCTGGCTAGGTGCCTCCATTGCCTCTCTGTGCCCTTGTAGCACTTTCAGTTTCTGGAATCTGGACTTCTCTCAGGCACACCCCAGTGACAGCTTCGGTCTTCCGGCCTCTCTTAGTGGGGCTAGTAGGTTTCCTGGGTCCTCAGAGACCTTTGCTTTGGGGTGCAGGCTTTCTGTGATGGGGAGCAGATGGGCTGGGTCTGCTCCACCTAATCCGGTCAGAGGAGGCAAGCGGATCTTTCTCATGGGCTGGGTGGGGGGCAGGTTCCCTTTGTCTTGGGCCTCAGAGGTTTTGGAGGCTAGAGATGCCTGGAGTTTGGAAAAGGGCCTCCTGTGACCACCTTGGCAGGGTGTGGTTCACCCCTCTCGAGTGACACCGGGAGGCTGCCCGGCGAGCTGGGCTCCTCTGTGGCTTTCCACTCTGGGCCTCGCCCTGTCTCTTTCCCTCCAGGCCCTGTGACCTGCCCTGTGTCTCTGTTGGTGACTCTGTCCACCCTGTACCTGTTAGAGGAGGACCCTGCAGGCTCCCAGGCAGAGCCCGCTCTTCCTGCAGCACCTGGCGAAGTCTCTGAGACGCGCCTGCCCTCGGGGCTGGGCCCTTCCGTGCGCGTCAGGGAGCAGTGGCCTCTCAGCAGCTTGAGCTCGGTGCTGCTCTATCGCACGGCCCCAGGGGACCTGCGGCTGGTCTTCTACGATGAGGTGTGTGTGTGTGAGAGAGAGAGAGAGAGGTGGGGCGGCGGTGTGGAATTGCGATGGGCAGTTGTGGTGGAAGGAACACAGAAGTGGGGCGTGAGGAGCTGGGGTGCTCGCTGGATGTGGAGGAGCAGCAGGGAGAGAGGGTGGCGGTTGTGGGCGGTGGAAGCCCGCGGGCCTGGGGCCAGGCTTGTGTTAGCTGGGAGGCGTTCACATTTGGATGGGCCCCCGGTGCCAGCCCTCTGCTCTTCCCAGCCGCCTTAGGCCTATTACAGATGGAGAAACTGAGGCTTGGGGGCATTAGCCAGTTTGCCTGGGTCACAAGTGGTCAGTCCAGGAATCGAACTCCAACCAGTTCCTTGGAGTTGATTCCAGAACTTACGTTCTAGAAAACAGGGTGGATTAAAGAAACAAGATAGTAAACGTGGAAGCCTTCTGTTTGGGGGTGACTTCAGTAAGTGTTGTGCTTCAGAAGCTCAAAGTCTGGGTCTGCTGTGGAGGGGCACAGGCTTGGGGAAGGAAGCAGGCCTTGGGGCAAGGAGGGGTGGCGGGTCCTCCGTGAGTCTCCCCTCACTGCCACTTGCTCTGCTAGGTGTCCCGGCTGGAGAGTTTCTGGGCCCTTCGTGTTGTGTGTCCAGAGCAGCTGACAGCCCTGCTGGCCTGGATCCGGGAGCCCTGGGAGGAGTTGTTTTCCATCGGACTCCGGACTGTGACCCAAGAGACCCTAGATCTCGATCGGTGAGGCGTCCCTGCCGAGCCCGCTCTGGCCTCGGGAGCCATGGCTGCGGAAGCTCTCTCTCCCCGGACTCTGGCTGCGGACTTCTCCGGGAGGCCCAGACGACCCACGGCTCAAGGGCAGGCTGAGAGACGTCGCCTGGCCTGGTCTGGCCCAAGGGGATAGGCTCCATGGTCAGTAAGAATGTTTCTCCTGCACTTTTTCTCAGGTATCAATAAAAGTGTTTCCCTTTTGGATGCCATGGGGAGAGTTTCCGTGTGTCACTCAGGCCGCCTGCCATTCCTTCACCTCTTCTAACAGAAACCGTCCTGCCCATAGCTCTCCCTCAGTGGACAGCCCAGCCTTGTCGGTCCTGTGAGCCCCCATTTCCAGACCCCCTCTGCCCCAGCCGATGGGAGCAAGTGGGACCCCGGGCCCATGGGCGCCAGGCCTCAGCCAGCTGTGCCTGTTACGGGGGCCCGATGAGGAAATCGCTGCCGAATAAATGGCTGGACCAGTTTGGTTCTGGGCACTAGTGAGGACCTCCGGCCTCTGGCGCTCAATGAGGGGGTGTCTGGGGAGAAGGGGTGTGGACTTGGGCTGTGGAGGGAGTGGTTGCCTCCTCTCAGCCCTGCCTCATGCAGCCCGGCGGCCTGATCAGGTGGACCCCATGCCTTCACCTCGGTCCCCGCAGCCTCAGTGACCCATTCTGGGGTGCTCACATGACTCAGGTTGGTTGCTGGAGCACCCAGGAAAGAGGTATGCTTTCCCCATGAGGGGTGCAAAGAGGGTAAGCCTGGAGCTGCCGGTCACGGCAGGGGAGCTTTCCTGAGAACGGAGCTGTGCAGAGAGAGGCAGAGTGGGAGCACGCAGGGCTGGGTCCTGGTGGTGTCTTTGGAGTTCCTGGGTCCAGCCGTGCCTACAGGCAGGTGCCCCTGGGACTTCAGGTTATGTTAACTAAAGGAGACTCCTTCCTGTTTTTTTTTTTTTTTTTGGGGTTAAGCTAATTTGAATCTAACAGTGAGCCATGGAAAGGGTCCTAACTGCATAAATCCCCACCCTGACTTGAGCAAGCCTGACTTGGGATTTGATTTTTGCACCTGAAAATGAACATAGCAGGAGGAGTGGCACCTACAGGTTTGTGTAGAGAGGCCCTGGGAGGAAGGCTTGGGCAAGGAGCCTTGGAGACTCAAGTCAGGCTGCCTTTGAGTCCAGAAGCTGGGCTCTGGCTGAGTCTGCTGTGTGGTTTTGGGGTGACTCTCATCTACGGAGCATTTACACGCCAGGTGCTGAGCCAAGTGCCTAATGATGGTCTCTGCTGCTCACGGGGGTCCTGGGAAGGGGGTGGCATCTTGTTATAGGAAATAGGCTTAGAGGAGTTAAATGACTTGTTCAAGGTCACATCAGTAAAGGGAGGAGCCCTGATACATCCAGGCTCATGTGACTTCACAGCCAGGGCAGTCTGCAAACCAGGGAGCCTCACTGCCTCCCCTTCCCTGTCTCTGATGGGCCTCTGAGCCCTGCCCCACTCACGGAGGGAGCTGGCCCACCCAGCCCTGCATAATCCTCCACTTGTCCAGGATGGGCAAGCTGGATGGACCATATGTATCTGAAGTAGTGAGATAGTAGGTGATGGATTAATTTGTGGGTGATTTTCACTCCTTCCCTCTGAACTGTAGAGAACAAAGATGCCAATCTGTAGGTGTTAAGTTGAAGGACTAAGGGTAGGAAGAGATTTGAAAGGACCATAAAGGGATATCAAGAGCTCTGCAATGGGGAGGGGGAGAGTTTTTAGAGAAGGGCATTAGGAGCAGTGTAGGAACAATTCCCCTTAACACTGGGGGCTCTCAGGGTGGAGGGGCCCTGGGCCAAGCTCCATGTTTGGAATTAGGGAGGCCAGTGACTTGTCAGATGCTCCCTACACCACCAGAGCACATGGAGATGGCCTTTTGGAAGCACTTGGCAGGTTAGTTGCCCAGATTTCTCTTGAAACGCGAAAGGAGGGGGTCCAGAGGATCCTGTGGGTGCCTGGCATGCAAGGAAGTCACCTGAGAGCATGCTAGAGAGCTTGCTGATTGGTCATTGGAGGAATGCAGCAGGAAGATGGTATAATAAGCCCAGCCCCCAAATGGGGATGTGATGAAGTTAGACTTGAATCCATTGAATTGAAATCATTGATGAGGCTGAGTTGATTTGAACGTTACCAGATTAATTTCTCTGTTGGTTGGAAATGGGAGTTTGTTACAAGGATAAAGTTGAGTTATCAAGAAAAAGGTCATTTTTGCATACCTGAATTTGGAGGACAGCCATGTTTCCGGAATTTCTGTCAATTACCATTGGAAAGGTCAATATCGGGTTTGGAAGGCGTGGACCTAGAGAGCAAGGGGAGTGTGGTTTCTTTATGGTGGTCTGGGGTTACTCCTTTCCCCCCACTAGAAGGCCTTTGACTTAGGGTTCTTGGGGGAGGGTCATGCTCTGGAAACTTGGTCAGGGCTCACTGTAAAGCTATTTTGGAGAAGTCCAAGGTGGGGCCTGGGGTTGGGGTGTTTTGTGGCTAGAGAAGACTAAACTGGGCTCCTGGGGCCCAATTCCACCCTTGACCCAGCCAGCCCTCTGCAAACCCTGGGGCCCCAGAGGATGGAATCTTTTGGGAAATAATCAATGCCCTGGAGGACAGTCACTCAGTCTCCTGCCCTATAAGAGCAAAAGTACAATAGAGAAACCCCTGGATCCTGAGGAGGGGAAGGAACTGTGGGGCCCTAGGAGGGAGAAGCCTTTGATATTGGTTAGAGCCCGCTCCTTTCCCTAGTTGTGCCTTTTCTTTCTTCCTTCCTTCCTTCCTTCCTTCCTTCCTTCTTTCTTTTTTCTTTCTCTTTCTTTCTTCTTTTTTCTTTTCTCTTCTTCCTCCCATCCCCTCCCCTCTGTTCTTTCCTTTCTTTCTTTTCTTTTCTTTTCTGTTCTTTTCTTTCTTTCTTGATTGTATTTGAGAGAAAGAGAGTGAGTACACGACTTTGGGGAGGGGGAGAGGGACAAGCAGACTCCATGCTGAGTGGGGAGCCTGATGTGGGGCTCAGTCCCAGGACCCTGAGATCATGACCTGAGCAGAAGTCAGATGCTTAACCGACTGAACCACCCAGGTGCCCCAGTGCTGCCTTTTCTGACCTTCATGTGGGTCAGCATTGTTCCTGTCCTGAAACATGTTAGTCACATATTCATAAGTATACTGAATGGATGGGTTTATTTATTCCTTCACTTGACAGAGATTAGTAGGACACAGGTCCTACTGCCGAGCCCATTAGAGCGTATGTCAGGGCAGGAGGGTTTCTCCAGTGGCTCATAAACGACTCTTAAGAAAGCAGCTACCTTCTCTGGGCCAGGATCGCTGAGGGGACGGCGGGGCCACCGTTGAGAGCTCCCCGGAAGACTGATAGAGGCACACCTCTAAACAACGAGGAAGGTCATAATCCAACAGCTGTGGCTCAGTGAGCCCTTCCTATGGTCCATGCGTTGTTTAAAAGCATCTCATTTTCCCAAATGTTTCTTATAGTCCTTTGATCACAAGATCTAGAGCCACTTAGCTTAAGGAAAGAGCCCTATGTATGGAAATGACCCAGCCTGGGAAGGCTGGTGCTGAGGCCCCAGAGATGAGCTTCTCCTGAGGCTTCCCATGTGTGGAGCCAGATGGCCTCTCTCTCTCCCCCCGCGCCCCCACCCCCAGCAGGACCCTGGTCTGGTCCAGCCGGAGAGTGGGGAGGAAGCGGTGTGCACCTTGGAACCAGTCGGGAAATGCTGGCTAGGGTGGGGTGGGGGGGCCTCAGTGACAGGCCTGCACAAGGGTGGCGGGGCCCAGAAAGATCGGTGTAGAGGTTCGGAAAATAAGTTCACCTACTTCTGTTTGCTCAGAGCTGGCCTGAATTTTTAATTGAAGCAAATTAAAACCTCCCAAAAATATTAGTCCACTTTCTTGGCAGTGCACACACCCCCTTCCCCATCAGCACTTTTGTACTGTCTGCAGACAAGCCAGGACTGGCCCTGAGAGAGCCCTTCCCCAGCCCCTGGCCTGGCGTTCCCTTTCAGAGCGGCCAGGCCCATTTACAAGCGCTTCCCCAGAAGTCCCGTCCGGTCACAGTCCGGATGGGGCACAATCACCCGCAGTCGTCGTAGGATGATTTGCCAAGAGGCGTGAGGCCCGGGCAGTGGAAGAGGAGCTTTCCTCCATTTCTTTGTGCTTAAGTTCTCTGCACGTCGCTTTGTTTTAACAGTGCAGCAAAGTCCTCTGCACCCTTCATCCTGGGGGTGCTCGCTCTTTGGTGACCCACGAGACAGGTACTGGTATTGGCCACTGAGGAAGCCGTCAAGGGTGAGGCCATCGCCGCCCCTGGAAGTGTCTGGCCTTTAGCTGTGCACCTCACCAGGTGCCAGGATGCACCTGCTCCTGACACCTGCCACACTGAGCGAATGGGACCGCTTTGCTTCTGATGCCTGTGCACAGTGTCCGTCCACAAGCACTTGCCTCTCACACTCTCTGCCCCAGAGATCGACCTGTCCGTTCAGTCTGGCCTTCCCCGCACCCCCCAGCAAATGCTTATGGATCAGCTGTCCAGCCTTGGGCTTGCTGGCAGTGGAGGGAAAGGATTCACTCCCTAAAACTGTCCATAACAGCACTCTGCCGCATTTTCTGTAGAAATGAGGTAGGATGGGATATATTCATGTTAGCTTCTATTTGTATAAATGAATTCCAGAGGGACAAACAAATTGGTGGTGGGGGATGAAGACGAGAACAGGGCAGAAGGGGTCAAGGATGGTATTGAGGCTCTGTTACTTTTTATTTAAAAAATATTTCTAAACTCCCTGAATGTATTTTGATTCAAAAGTAATATTTAAAAATTTAGATAAGGCCCTGGGGGGGGGGGCGGTCAGTGGCCAAAACTGAATGATATATTGACTTACTTATTTTTATTTTTATTATTCTTTCTTAAGTTTTACTTTTTTAAGTAAACTCTACCCCCAACATGGGGCTCGAACTCCTGACTCTGAGATCAAGAGTCCCACCCTCCACCCAGCCAGGCGCCCCCTAAACTGAGTGGTATAAACGTTGACTCCTGAGCCTTTGGAAGGTGGGGTGTAGGTCAGCTTGAAGGCACTTTCTTTCTCAGTGGGAGAGATAGCCGATGAGTCTTTTCACGTGGAATGAGGGGTGACATCCTTCCTCCTTTGCTGGCGTGCCATGGGGGCTTCTGAGCAGAGCCTCCCAGACTGGTTAGCCGTGGTTGGAAATCCCACCGCAGGGCTGCGCTATGGTCTCTCTCAGTGCCCTCAGGACCATGCATCTGTGCACTCACCAGTCAGCGTGGTGTGGTGGTCATACAGGAAAAGGCACAGTGGTTTTGAGCACAAAAGGTTCATGTTTATGCCTTAGTTTTGTGGCTCGCTATTTAACCACAGGCAAGTTGCCCTTGCTGATCTGTGGCACCTTCATCTCCAGCGAGGATGGGACTAATCGATAACCAAACTGTGCGCGCAGCAATGCACAAGGTGGTCTGTATGAGCCACCAAACATCAAATCCATGCTGGTTTACAAAAACTGCTCGTGAGTTATTACAGCCTACTTGGTTGCCTCGAAATGCCCTTTGTAAGCAGAAGAAGGAAGCCTGCATCTTACTGCTCGTCCCTCTGTGAGTGGCTATTTCCCCGGTGTGCCTCAGAGGGAACCCCAGACGCTCCCCGGGAGCTGAGCAAGCCGTGGTGTGCTTTTTCTTGGCCCATCCTTTGTCATTTGATCATCTTGGACTCAGTGACTTCTCTGTCCTCCATGAAAACATTCCTCAGTTTATTAGTTACTATAATTACTCGTGCACTTGTCTTCAATTCCATGACATTTATTGAGCTCTTAAAATGGGCCCGGCCCTGTTGTGAGAAGGTGGGAGGGTGGAATATAAGGGTGAATCCGACCTGCTCCTGCTTTCAAGAAGCTTGCCATCCAGGGAGGGAGTGGACAGTGGCGCCTCGGAGCTGGCTCACAGAGGATGGGTAAGACCACAGTAGGAGAATATTGCCACAGTGGCCATTTTAGAGCACCTACTTTGTGCTGCTCTTTGGACTGATCATCCCATGGACACTATTGTGCTCAGTACAACCCTGAGGGAGAAGCATGATCTCTCTTTTACAGGTGAGGAAGCTGAGGCTCAGGTGAAGGGTCTCACCAAGGGGGTGCAGGATCTCACATTCAGGACCTCTCTCTCTTTCTCAAATGGTATTTATTGCCTCTTAGACCTTCTAGACTGCCTACCCTGGTTCACCTTCAGTCATTTTATTTTATCTCATTTTTTAAAAAAGATTTAAAAAATTTTTTTTAAAGATTTTATTTCTTTCTTTGAGAAAAAGCATGAGTGGTGGGGAGGGGCAGAGGGAAAGGGAGAAGCAGGCTCCCTGCCGACCTGGGAGCCCGACCAGGGAGCCCGACACAGGGCTTGATCTCAGGACCCTGGGATCATGACCTGAGCTGAAGGCAGACAGTTAACCCACTGAGCCACCCAGGTGCCCCTAAAGATTTTATTTTTTTAAAGTAATCTCTATACCCAATGTGAGGCTTGAACCCACAACCCTAAGATCAAGAGTTGCACACTCTACCAACTGAGCTAGCCGGGTGCCCCCATCCTCAGGCAGACCCTCAGTCTGTCCCCTTGTGCCCCCAGGTTCTAGGGATACCACCTCCCACCACAAGAACACCATCCAGATCCTCAGCGCCCAAAGCTCCATGCCTGTTCTTTCCTGCCACCCAATGGGTCCCAAGCTCTTCCTTCTGCCTGGAAGCCTCTCCCTTGCCCGGCTTCCCCAGCATACCCTTCATCGCATGGCTGATTCTTTTGTATCCTTCAGGTCTTCGCTCCATTGTCCCCTCTTTACAGAGCACATCCTTAACTATGCCACCTGAATATTCCCTGTAACTGGCACTTGCCATATTTTGTAATTACAAGTTTACGTGTTGCTTGTTTGTTGACTGTAAGGTGCCCAAGGACAGAGACCATGTCAGGTTTTTTCACTGATGAACACCCCAGAGCTGGTGTAGAGTATAGAGTGAGTGTGTGGGTTTCGGTTCACACACTTGGGTATGCATGAAATACTGCTTTATGACATTTTCGAAACCTTTTATTTCAAGCCCCCATCCCCTGAGGTTGGCAGGACTCACTGACCTCACTCTCCCCACCCCCCACATCTTGGGAGCACCTCGTGCTTTGCTGATGGGGCAAGACAAGGGGTCTGGGGCAGCTTCTGGCCAAGATACTGCATGTCTTGCTAACCCTTTCTTTTTCCTCCTCTACAATCTCCCTAGGTTTCCTGAGACTTTGGCTTTGGGTGAACAAAAGACAGACATGCGGGCTTCTGTCCTATCCATTCTCAAAAAAACCCAACAAAATTCAAAGCAGGCTACCTGCTCAGATGGTTGGGGGAGCAGAAAGAAAGGACATAGTTTTATATGTCAAAATGTCAGTCCAGCCACAAAGAATCTGTGCATCTGAGCTGAAAGGTGGGCTCTGCAGGGGTGAGAAAACCTTCTGGGATAGGCAGTGCCCTCCTGAGATTGGATCTGTTTCAAATCTGAGTCCAGGTTTACTGAGGGACACTGGTTCGAATGGGATAAACCACTGCAGGCCAATGGCAAGAGTAAATAAGAATGACATTTGTTGAGCATCTGTTCTGTGCCAAGCACTGAACTGTATTTTATTTTTATTTTAGCCTCCCTAACTCCAGAGTTTGGGGCTTTTTCTCAAGCCCTGTTATCTCTCTTGTAAAAATAAGGTCTTACTCATGATGAAGGCAGTCAACGGCAAATGGCACTGGGTGCTCAGCTCTGGGGAGCAGGGAGGGGATACTCTCAGCCAGAAGGGATTCTCAGCCAGTCTGAATGGCAACTGTGGGCTGAGCCGACATCCTCCCACCTTCCAGAAACTCTTCAGTCTGCAGAGTGAGGATTACAAATGCAAAGACTGGTCCACTGGCCAAGGAGGGTCAGAATCTATCCTGGTGGAGGTAAAAGCTGTTCTGGATCTCTCTGTCTTCTCGGAATTCACATGACTAGTATCTTTAGTTTGGCTGGAAGACTAAATTGTCCTTGTAAGTGTAAGGCAATGTCCACTTCATGTGTGTACATTTTATCATTTTTCATATTCTAAGTTACCTGAGGTCTTTTCAGTACTGTGTCTCTTAAATTCTTTTTTTTTTTTTTTAAAGATTTTATTATTTATTTGACAGAGAGAGCAGGGGGAGGGGCAGGCAGAGGGAGAGGGAAAAGCAGGTTCCCCTGTTGAGCCGAGAGCCCGATGCGGAACTCGATTCCAGGATCCTGGGATCATGACCTGAGCCGAAGGCAAACACTTAACCCACTGAGCCCCTCAGCTCTCTTTGTCTCTTAGGCTTCTAATAGTAGGAAGCTAGCGAACATTTATCGAGCCCTTACTATGTGCCAGGCACTGTTTTAAGCACTTTACATGGATGAACTCATTTCATTCTTTCAACAACCCCATTATTATTACCATTTTACAGATGGGGAATCTGAGGCCCAGAGAGGGTAAATAACTTGCTCATGAACTCAGGCGACTTGGCTCTGGATGTCTCATGCTTAGCCACTCCTCTGTATGGCTTCTAGTAGCAAAGATGGAATCTCCTTAAAAAATTCACTTGGGAAGTTAGCAGTATATTTCAGTTTGTGCTCATGGCAAGGAAAGTTCAATAGTTGCAGGAAAAGGTACCAGGACATGGTGGTGGGGACTGGGGGGCACTGTAATGTTTGGGGATAAATATTACACATGATACCAGAAACCCCTGGGTTTCATTTAAAAAAAATTTTTTTTTTAAATTTTTAAGTAATTTCTACATCCAACATGGGGCTCAAACTTATAACCCCAAGATCAAGAGATGTATGCTCTACTGACTGAACCAGCCAGGCAGCCCACCCCTGGGTTCAATTCTTGGCCATGCTGCCTACGGAGCCTTGGACCATGGGCAAATCACTTCAACTTTCTGAGCCTTTTTTTCTCCCTCGTGTGTCAAATGGGATTAAGACACTCTGCCTCAGAGGGTTGCTGTAAACTAATGAGATTATGAATATCAAAGTGGTTTGTAACCTGGACAGCACTACCTACATTTAAGGTAATGAAGTTATCGTTGTGTTGGCATTAAGATTAAGGAATGGAGGGGCTGTTTTTTTTTTTTAAAGTTTATTTATTTAAGTAATCTCTGCACCCAACATGGGTGGGGCTCAAACTCAGGACCCCCTGAGCCAGCCAGGCCCCTCAAATAAATAAACTTAAAAAAAAAAAGATTAAGGAATGGAGTTGGTGAGGAGTGACATAGTAGTAAGAGAGGCAGGGACTGCCCAGGCCTGCTAATAAGATGGCCATTCTCCCGGCGCCTGGGTGGCTCAGATGGTTAAGCGTCTGCCTTCGGCTCAGGTCATGATGCCAGGGTCCTGGGATCGAGTCCTGCATCTGGCTCCCTGCTCAGTGGGAGTCGGCTTCTCTCTCTCCCTCTGCCCCTTCCCCCTGCGTGTGCTCTCTTGAGTGCTCTCTCAAGTAAATAAATAAAATCTTAAAAAAAAAAAAGATGGCCGTTCTCTCACCTGGTGCCGGCTCAGCCTGTGCCCTGGACTCAGAGCCATTTCCCCAATTCCTTCGGAAGGCTGAGCTGCGGACAACAGCCACTCTAAGCTGGAAAGGAATTTATTCAAGGAACTAATGAATAGTGGGCGGTGTTCTGGGGAGGAAGAGAGAGCTAGGAGTAATGACCAGCCATGTCCGTGGAACTTCTCTAGTGGAAACACCACAGCTGCCCTCAGAGGACCCGCACGACCCCCGCTCCTGGGCTCGCACAGGTGCACAGCGCTCATTCCCGATTTCAGGTCTTGTGCAGGCGAGTCCGCTGGGTGGAACCCAAGCGGCGTCTGTGCCCTAACTAACTTCGAGGGAGTCCTGCGAGGGGCACGTGGCCTTGATCTTGGAGAGATCGCACCCATGGGACATGACCAAAGGATAGAGGGTTTGCAGAGGTTTGGGTGGCCACAGAGGACGAATATCCTCTACGTCAGTCTCATTCCCAACATGCTTGATCCCAAGACGGCGACTGCAGGGAAGGGCTAGGAGAGGAACCCACCGCAGAGGGCTCCTGGCCCATGAGGACCCCAGAGGACGCTGTGCTTGCGTCTCCACATCCGGATAGTGTGGTGGGATGGCTCCTGGGCTCTTGGACATCTGGGACGGACCTCGGCGGTGCTGTATGTGTCAGATGAGCGCTCCGGGCCTCAGCATGCAGGGTGGAGACATTCAAGTCAGCCTGGGCCGAGGAAGAGGGTGCGAGCGGGGTCCTCTGAGCTGCTACCTTTGTTGTCGCCTTTCCCGTCCCCTTTGTCTCTCACACACACTGGCCATCCTTTGTGTATGGAGGAAACACTCTTGTCACAGGAATAAAGACTCCATCGGGAACACTGTGCTGGGGACTGATGATTACAGGTGCTGGAGAACACAGCTGGAAAGGCCTCCAGGAGGCTGGGACATCTGAGTGGGCATGATGGAAGCATTCACTGATGTCTAACAATGGGATGAGTTGGCATGAATCAACTGGTGGCCGTCAGCATCTCCTCCAGCTCCACCCTGGAAGGAGAGATGAACATGAGCATCTAAGGATTCTTTGAGGACTATCACCCCATCATCCCAGCGACTGCGGGATAAGGGGAGGGACTTCTGAGACTGGAGGCCAAAGCTGCTGACTCCGGGTGGGGTGGGGGAGTCCCCAGCTGGGAAGAGGATGGGAGCCTGAGGCGTCCAGGAAGGTGAGGACCTGTGCTCGGCAGGCTCCCTGGGGGAAGGTAGGGGCCTCAGAGGCATGAGTCATGTGGTGCTTTTAGGGCAACGTTGTTCAGGGCCCAGTACACTGGGGGTCCCAGGTTGGCAGGACCCTCCTCAGGCTGTCTTGGTATTCAAGTAGCTGCTGTCCAAGTTTGTAGCCTGGAAGCCGGGGACCAGGGCCATGAGCAGGACCAAGGTGTCAGAGGTAGACCGGGGAGAGTCCTCTGCAACGTTCCCGACTGGGAAAGGCTCCAAGGCTCTTGAGTATCTCTCAGGAGGTGAGGGCCCTGTGTAAACAATCCTTAAGGTAGAGACTTGGAACCAAGTCCCCTGGCTCGGAGCGTAAAGGCTAGGGCTGCTGTAACGAAGTACCACAAACTAAGGGGCTTAAACAACAGAGATTCGTTATCTCACAGTTCTGGAGGCTGCAAATCTGAGATCAAGGTGTCAGCAGGGCTGTGTTTGCTCCGAAAATGCCAGAGAAGGATGTGTTCCAGGCCTCTCTCCCAGCTTCTGGCAGTTCCTTGGCTTGTGGCAGGCTGACTCCATCTTCCCATGGGGTCCTTCCTGAGTGCGCATCTGTGTCCGCATTTCCCCTTTTTATGACCGCACCAGTCATATTGGAAAAGGAGCCCATCCTACCCCAGTATGACCTCACCTGAACGTCTGTTAACTATGCCATTTCCATATAAGGTCACGGGATCAGAACGTGGACATGTACATTTGGTGGGGACACAATTCGATCCATCACAGAGGGGTCTCGAACCCCGAGTTCTGGAGCATAGTTCACAGGTTCCACTTACACACAGCTGACTCTCCCTGGCGTCTTGTCTTGTTTTGTTCTCTCAACGCCCTGCAGGGTGGGGAGGCCATGCACATTTCTTTCAGTGTAAGCGGCCGGGGGTGGGGGAGTGGGGGTGTGGGGGGCAGTTAAATGGCCGTGGCTCTGACAGTCACCTCGTACACACCCCTGATGCCGGATGGGCAGCCTGCTTCCCAGCTGTGACTGTGGCCAGGTAATAAGCCTCTCTGCGTCTCTGTTGCGGGAAGGCTGGTATGGAGACGTCTGGTCTAGCATGCTGCAAAGCCAGTCGGTGTTCACAGACCCCAGCTGCCCTCCCCTCTCCCCTTGTGTGGCTTTGAATGTAGAAAATCTTCTTTGGGGTTGGGCTGAGAGCCGGATGAGGGCAGGCAGGGGTGGGAGAGGGTATATTACATGTCCAAGGTCACAGGGTTAAACCTCCTTCCCATGCAGAGCACCATCATTTCCAGCACCCTGTCTGTCCCCCACACCCCTCTCTGCTGGCTGGCTCACCTCCGCCCGCCCATTAGCTCCCTCCCCGGTTCTGCCCCCACATCCTCTTCCTCTGCCCAAGGATTCAGGGACCTGGCTTCACTATGGCTTCAACACATATTATTGGGGGGCTGTAATGGATGTAGCCTTGTGCTAGTGCCCAGTTTCAGCCAGACACCAGAGGATCAAATTGGGATCCAGCAGTTCCTTCCAAAGACATTTGCCCTTGGAAAAGGAGATGTGACCCCAGGGAGTGGAGGAGGGGAGAGGAGATGTGGAAACTGAGCTACAGAATCTTAGAGCTGGATGGAACCCTGGAACACTCCTACTTCAGGCCCCTTGGGCCACCGAGGGGGAAACCGGGAGGGGAGGTAATGTGCCAAGGTCAAATGTTGGGTGGTGCCCGGTGGCAGAAGCCAGGCATCTGAGCCCATATTGGGACCAAGGGGGCAGGTGGTGGGTGCTTCCCGGTGTCTGTGAGCTCCGTTCCCCAGGTTGGAGGGGCTTGGGTGGTGCAGGGGTCGCCTCCAGGGCTCCTGAGGGGAGGGAGGGGAGGCTAAAAGCAAAGTGGGGGAGCGACCTGGGGATTGTGGGAATGTAGGGCCGTGCATCCGCCCCCGGTCTTGCGTGGGGCGCCGGGAGAACGGGCTGGTGGGCAGAGGGAGTCCTGCGGGGGCCCGCGCGTGGGGGCCGGGCCGGCCGGGGCGGGGTGAGTCACGGCCCGCCCGCTCCCATTGTGCGGCCCGGCGGCGGCGGCGGCGGAGCTGCGGAGCTGAGCGCGAGGAGGTGGAGCCCCGGGCTGCGGGCTCCGGCGCCTGCGTCCGCCCGGCCGGCCCGGCTCGCCTCGCCGCCGCCGCGGGCACCCCCCGGCCGTGAGGCCCTGCGCGCCGCCAGGCCCCCGAGCGCGCGCGGGAGGGAGATGGGGCGCGGCGGCCGGCGCAGGCCCCGCACGCTCCGGAGCCCCGAGGTACCGCAGGGCGGGGCGCGGCAGGGCGCGGCGGGCCAGGGCCGGGGCCCCGGGGTGTCGCGGGCGTGGCGGGGCCTCGGCCTGGGCGGGCGGACGATGGGGCTCGCCGAGGGGGAGAGGGCGGCCGTGCGAGGCTCCTGACCCCGCCCTCCTCCCCCAGGGCTCCCCGCTAGGCCCCCGCAGCGCCCCCTTCTTCTCAACCCGGTCACGGGTCCCTCAGTGAGCGAGAGGCTCCCGAGCCGCCTCCCCGGCCATGGCCAACGGAGTGATCCCGCCGCCCGGGGGCGCCTCCCCCCTACCCCAGGTGACTGCCGCGCGCGGGGGTGGGAGAAGAGGAGGGGAGGGACCCCAAGGAGGAGAGGGGAGTCCTCCGGCCGACCTTGGGATCCCCACATCCAGAGATGGAGCTGGGCTGGAGAGGAGGGGGAAAGGGAGGGCCTTTTGGTATTTTTCGGTTCTCTTGCCCCTCTCCTCTCAAGCCCTGGGCTCCTGGGAGGCTGACCCAAGGCTGGGGCGCAGGGAGAGGGGGTCGTTGAAGATGGAGCCCGCTGGTCTTCCCCGCCCCCAGCCAGGGTTTGGAGTTGGGGTGGATGTGGGGCGTTCTTGGGTCAAGTCCTTAGGAGAGGCTGTCTGAGCCTGCAGGTCCGGGTGCCCTTGGAGGAGCCCCCTCTGAGTCCAGACCTGGAGGAGGAGGACGATGACTTGGGCAAGACCTTGGCTGTGAGCAGGTTTGGGGACCTCATCAGCAAGCTTCCGGCCTGGGACCCTGAGAAGCCCAGCCGCAGCTACAGCGAGCGGGACTTTGAGTGTGGGTAGCCTGGGGACCCCTAGTGTGGCCGCCCTCACCACCATCACCTTCATTGCCACCATCACCGTGCTCTCCACCGGCTTGGTCACCCAGTGCCATCTTGTGCTGGACGCTGTGCGGGACGCTGTGCTGGGCCACCATGCCATGTTAAGTCATCCTGCCTCACTCACCCATCGCCTGTCCACCTTCCAGGGGAGCCGGGCCCCAGACGCAGGGGGAGGCGTAGGGAGATGGGCCTGAGGCCTCCCTCGGTGACCTTCACTTTCCCCAAGGCTCTGCCATACCTCCGCCCTGCTCCCTTCTCTCTGCCTCCTCACCTCCCTCAGCTCTTCTGACTCCGCCTTCCCCCCTTGCTGTACCGTGTCCTTCCGTTTCCCCCAGCCCCCCTTTCACAACCTGCCCTCTCCCTGACTCCCGTTCCCCCACTCTACCAGGCCTTACCAATGGCAGGACACGGATACAGGTGTTGGGGGGAACCTGGCTCTTGAGGAAGGTCTAGGGTGCCCTTGTTTGAGGCCCTGAGCTAGAATAAGGTGTGTGCCCCTAGGGCGGTGAGGGGCCCCCTTCTGCCGTGGGGGCCCCCAACCGGCTCTCCTGCACCCCCAGTTCACCGGCACACATCCCACCACACCCACCACCCGCTCTCGGCGCGCCTGCCTCCACCCCACAAGCTGCGGCGACTGCCTCCCACCTCTGCCCGGCAGACCAGGAGGAAGAGGAAGAAGGAGAAAACCTCGGCTCCCCCCTCGGAGGAGACCCCTCCCATCCAGGAGGAGGGGGGAGCCGGAGTGGAGGAGGAGGAGGAGGAAGAGGAGGAGGAAGAGGAAGGGGAATCCGAGGCAGAACCTGTGGAGCCCCCACCCTCAGAGTCCCCACAGAAAGCAAAGGTAGGGGTCTGTCCCTGAAGGAGGGCTGATTCCTCAGGGAGGGGTGCGGGTGGGGGGAGAGGACACAGCCGAGGGCGCCAGGGCTGCCTGGGGGAGTGGGGGGGGGAGGGTGGCGGGTTGGGGGCTGAGCCCGTGCAGGGACCCAGGGCACTCCGGTTTGTCCACAGTTCTCCATTGGAAGTGATGAGGATGACAGCCCTGGCCTCTCTGGGAGGGCTGCCTTCAGCAAGCCCCTGCCCTCCGTGGGCCCTTGCCCTGACAAGAGCCCCCAGCAGTCAGTCAGGTACTGGCCTCCAGCCCAGCCCAGAGCGGGCCCCAGGCTCCCTTCTGACCCTGGGGACTGTCCCAGCTCTGAGCCCAGAGAAGAAGAGGGGAGGAGAGGAGAGGGAACAGAGGAAGCGGGGAGGGGCGCATCCGCTTTCTGTCCATAGGATAGACAAGGAGGAGAGACAGTTGTCACCAGAGAGGAGGGCAGGGATAAAGGCAGAAGAAAGACGGGGCTGGGGTGTGGGTGTGGGGGTGGGGGGGACAGTGAGACAGGGCAGGGAGGTGGAGGTGAGCTTCCTTCTCTGCCCAGAAGGAGTCTGTGTCTAGCGCCCAGGGGACTATTCCAGGCCCCACCCCAAGCTGGGGGAGGGCAAACGAACCTCCTAACCTGGCCCATCTCCACGTGGTTCCCTG